GTAAAGGAAAAAGGTCTTTTTCAAAGGTTGATAGGAAAATTAATCTATCTAACACACACTCGCCTAGATATTATGTATGTTGTTCGCTACTTGAGTCAATTTATGCAGCTACCAAAAAAACACACATAAGAGACAGCGTTGAGGATTGTTAGGTACTTAAAAAGGGAACCGGGACAAAGAATTTTTTTGCCAGCTACAGGAGACAGTACTGTATCAGCATATTGTGATGTTGATTGGGCATCATGTCCTATGTCCAGGAGGTCAATTACCGGTTTTTGTATAAAGCTGGGAGGTTCTTTAGTGTCCTGGAAATCTTAAAAACAGAACACTGTAGCAAGGCAATGGCAATGACAGCAACTGTAATCATATGGTTAAAAGGATTGCTTAATGAACATGGTGTGGATGAACAGCAGTTTACTAAGCTATATTATGATAGTAAAGCAGCGTTGCAAATATCGACCAATCCAGTGTTTCACGAAAGAACCAAACATATTGAAGTGGATTGTCATTTCATTAGAGATAAAATTCATGTATGAATTCTGACATCTCTATGTCAATGACAGCTCATTGTCATCAATCAATAACATGTTAGTCTTAAGTGTATTATTACTGTCCATGCCTATAATAATAATTGACTAAGGATCATTTAATAATAACCATATTATTATATGAACATTACTATCTTTTAGCTTATTTAATGCACAAAAATATAATAAAAGAAAATAACAGTAATGTCTTTATTTAATAAATATGATAAATAATCTATGACAATATAATCATCATATGATTAGTCTTTGGGCTTACTCTAACACTATTTTGATTTCTGTTTGTTACAGGATCTTTATACTGGAAATAATGGCGATTGGTAAAAGGTCTGGAGGCTTATATGAGTTTGGTTTTTTTTCTTCATCTGGTTTGTCTTCTTGTCTTTCTCAAGTTTCTGTTTCAAATTCAAATTTGACCTTTGCTAGTACTTCCAGATCATTAGGTTCTGATTCTGGTGTTTTACATCCTGATACTGGTTGTATGCATTCTTCTACTAATAATATATACTTATGACATGCTCGTTTGGGTCACACTTCTCCTATGAAAATGCTTAAACTTTCTTTACCTTCTGATATTAAATTGAATATGGAATCTGTTAAAAGTTACCTTGCTTGTCCCTTAGCAAAGCAACATAGATTGCCTTTTCCTTTAAGTACCTCCTAAACTGTTTCTATTTTTCAGCTAATCCTTATTGATATCTGGGGCCCTTATTGAATTTGTACGCATCGAGGCCATCGTTTTTCCTAACTATAGTTAATGATTTCTCTCGGTTGACTTGGGTATACTTCCTGATGTTGAGGTCTGATGTTATTCTTATTCTGAAAAATTTTATATCTCTTATCCAAAATCATTTTAATGTTACTATCAAAACTATTCGTAGTGACAATGGGTCTAAATTTTTTAATTCAGAATGTTCTCCCTTGTTTTCTTCTTTAGAAATCATACATCAAAGTTTCTGTGTTTGCACTCCTCAACAGAATGGAGTTGCTGAACGAAAGCATCAACATCTTTTAGATATGGCTAGGCTTTTCGTTTTCCGTGTTCGCATTCCCTTAATTTTTATGGGCTATTCTTCAACCCAAAAAGGTTACCTACTTTTTAATATTGCCACCAAACAGTTTTTTGTTAATCGAGATATTGTGTGTCATGATACCATTTTCTCTTTTAAAACTCCTTCATCCACATATTGATGATTCTTAGTTTCTGGTTCTAACATTGCCGCCTTCCACTAATGCTTCTCAGTTAGACTTTTCTCCATTTTCTCCATTTGTTTCTCAACCAGCTTGTTCTTCTCTTGTTCCACAACCAGATTCTTATTCTACCATTCGTTCTCAGTCAACCTCTAACCTGATTATTCATTCTTCAATTTCTTCAGAATCAATAAGTATACCCCCTCATCCGTTCCTTCTGATGAATTGTGTCTTAGGCGTTCTTCTCGTGTTGTTAAGTATTCTATTTGGTTACGTGATTATTCTCATTCTTGCCAATCGTTTGATTCTGCCCGGTATTTTATTTCCAACAATATTACATATTCACATCTTCCATCGGATACTCAATTGTTTCTTTCCACCATTTCGAATTATTCTCAGCCACAAACTTATGCTGAAGCCCTTAAAAATCCTGCTTGGGTTGAGGCCATGAAGGAAGAAATTCAGGATTGAGTCTAATGGCACTTGGTCCGTTGTACCATTGCCTCTAGGAAAGAAACCATTGGTTGCAAATGGGTGTTTCGAATCAAATATAAGGCTTTTCGTGAGATTGAAATATTTAAGGCCTGACTGGTGGCTAAAGGTTACAATCAGCGATAATGAATTGACTTTGTTGACACGTTTTCCCTAGTTGCCAAATTTGTAAATGTTCGAACTATGCTTGCTCTTGCTTCTTTAAAGAGTTGGCCTTTGCTACAAATGGATGTCTATAATGCCTTCTTGCAAGGTGATTTGAATGAGGAAGTATACATGCAGCTTCTTGAGGGTTTTTGCAGCCAGGGGCAGTCTCAGGATTGTAGGCTGAGAAAATCTATTTACGGGTTAAAACAAGCTTCTTGACAATGGAACATGAAGCTGACAGAAGCCTTATTAGATGTTGGTTATGTTCAGAGAAAACATGACTACTCTTTGTTCACAAAGAAGCAGAATATTAAGATAGCAATATTGTTGATTTATGTGGATAATTTGCTTCTTAGTGGAAATGACATGGACATGATCAATGATTTGAAGCACATTTTGAATATGAAATTTAGAATGAAAGATCTGGGAGAGTTGAATTTTTTCCTTGGTTTTGAGATACGAAGATCCAAAGAAGGGATATTTTTGAACCAAATGAAGTATGTTTTTGAATTGATAGAGGATACCGGTTTAAGGAATGCTAAATCAGCTTCTACGCCAATAGAACAAAATTTGAATTGACCACAGCTGAGTATGATGAAGGCTTGCAGCAAAACGATGAAGTCCCTGTAAAGGAAAAAGGTCTTTTTCAAAGGTTGATAGGAAAATTAATTTATCTAACACACACTCACCTAGATATTATGTATGTTGTTCGCTACTTGAGTCAATTTATGCAAGTACCAAAAAAAAACACACTTAAGAGACAGCGTTGAGGATTGTTAGGTACTTAAAAAGGGAACCGGGACTAAGAATTTTTTTGCCAGCTACAGGAGACAGTACTGTATCAGCATATTGTGATGTTGATTGGGCATCATGTCCTATGTCCAGGAGGTCAATTACCGGTTTTTGTATAAAGCTGGGAGGTTCTTTAGTGTCCTGGAAATCTTAAAAACAGAACAATGTAGCAAGGCAATGGCAATGACAGCAACTGTAATTATTTGGTTAAAAGGATTGCTTAATGAACATGGTGTGGATGAACAGCAGTCTACTAAGCTATATTATGATAGTAAAGCAACGTTGCAAATATCGACCAATCCAGTGTTTCACGAAAGAACCAAACATATTGAAGTGGATTGTCATTTCATAAGAGATAAAATTCAAGAAAAGATCATTCACACAGAACATGTGGCTTCATCAAATCAACTTGTAGACGTTATGACAAAGGCCTTAAGAATTCAACAACACAATCATCTTCTATCCATGTTGGGAGTTAAAAATATTTTTAACCACCAACTTGAGGGGAGTGTTGAGAGTTGTTTGTACAGTTCAGAAGTAGTTAGATTTTTTATGATAGTTAGAAATTAGTTACAGTCAGTTTACTTTTCATTTGTAATATAAATAGTGGATATTACAACAAATGCGCTTGATTTCGCCCTGGGAAGCTTCTAAATCATTGCCTTAAATTAAATTTTTCATTCTCCACAAAATATTAAATTAAATTTGATACTTTTTAAAAAATAATAGATATACGATTATTGTCTTTAGGAACTACATACATCTGCCCCTAGAACTAGAAGAATGCTAATGGCTGCAGTCAATCTTCACAGTACGTAGCTTATGAGTCCCGCCATCACCTTTGGGCTTTAATGATCTCGGCCGGCCTCCCATTTGATTTGTATTCTCAAACGAACTTTTATTTAGTCATTTATGTTGAACATAAATTTATCTTTAATATAAAATCCATAATACAATCCATATGCAGAGGAAGGCAAAACTATTATACGAGTACTTGTACTACAGTGTGAATTGTATTTTGGTTTTAAGTGCTTTTGAAATGAAAAAAAGGGGAAAATAAGTAAAATGATCGTTATCGTAAAAGTTGAAAATAAATATGCTACTTCAGTAAAATGATCGTTGTAATTGTTGGAAAAAAATCTGTTAATTTTATGGAGTAGAAATTTGATTGAATAATGTTACAGTTAATGACGGACACATAATTTTATGTTAGAGGATAAATTTATAAATTTCTAAGGACTAAAATAGATTTTCAATAAAAAAAATATATAGAAAAATTTAAAATATATGATAATTTTAAATTTTCAATTGATTAATTATCCTCGCCTGTCCCTTGGATCCATCCTTTATAATTCTAATATAAAGGTTAATTCAGCATATTTATTATTTTATTATTATTTAATTTACATTAATTTTAATGATGAAATGATTTAAATTAAATAATAATGAATTTGATGAATAGACTGCATTATTTATTTGCAATATCACTAAATAAAATTGTTTGCTCTTTGTTTTTCTAATAACGGACTCTTTTTAGAGTACAGAAAATCGAAATAAACTTGCAGCTGTAGTGAGATGGGTAGAAACTAAAACGCAAGAAATTTTCAGACTGCACGTATCAAAATTCAATGGCTCAATTTAATTACACGTAGCCCATTGTGTTAACCATTGATTGCTTCTATTTAGAGAAACGGAAAATGTCACGAAATGAAATCCACACGTGGAAAGGTTTTGAACGTTACCGCACGACATCAAACTGCTCATCATCAGAGCTCGTAGTTTGTTTCCATTATTGAAAAGAAGAGAGAGAGAGGATTATATTATTGGGTAAGCTTTTATGAAATTCCGTGCCTTGCGTCCCGTACGGTTTAGGCCAAAACGGCTAATTATCGAAGAAAAAGATATCGTTGCTCTTTGATTGGATCAAACTCGATTTGAAATCTCTCTCTGTCGAATGATAGATTTTAGTTTTCTTCCTGTTGAGATCTTAACATAAGAAGCAGAAAAAAATGCAGCAACAAGACGCTTCCTCAAGGCCTCAAAGCTCCGCTTATCTCAACGCGCTCTCCCTAGAAATCCAGAAAAAGCTTCAGCGGGTTCGTTTTCTGTTTTATCTCTTCCTCTTTTTGTTTCTGGATATAATGGAACGTAAAGCGGAATTTAGTTTAGGTCTTTCATTTTCCTTTCCAAATCTCTCTTTTAATTTGTTTTCTTTATCCTTAAAATAGAGAGAGAGCGTATATTAGGGTAACATTCTGGACTCTGGAAAGTCTTATACTATCGTTGTCTCATGTGTATCATTCTCATCATGTTTCCTCTGTTAATTTTAGCCGGGTCTTAGGTTTCTGTCTATATACAGAGACTCTTTCGCAGGAGTTATTTTGCAGGGATTACTCCCCATTACAGAAGCTCATATGATATTAATGACTGCATATGAATACTGTTTAGCTATGTATTTATGTAATTATTTATACATGCATTGCATTTTATCTATATTTTTAATTTTCTGACTGCCGGAGGTCTTTCACGGAAGCTATTCTCAACCTGGCGTTGGGGGCAGCCTACTACCCTACCTCCCCTTACCCCATACATATGGGAATTGGATTTTGTTGTTGTTGTTGTTGTATTCTGGACTCTGGAAAGTCTTATACTATTATTTTTTTCCAAGTTGATCATAAATACTGCGTTTAAGAGTTTCTTGATCTATGTATATTCAAATTCACTGCAGGCATTAGCGTCTCCATCGCAGAGACGCAATTTATTACAAGAATTATTCGCCGATATAGCTTTGGAAGTCGATGATCGAGCCAAAGGTTAGCTAAGATTCATTAACTCGTTTAATTCTTTTTGGCCCATATTGAATTGCGTCCACCAAATAGTTCATTTTCAAGTTGTCCTGCTTTTTTATTTGATTTGAGGATATCTCATAATGTTTGCTTTGTATGGATTTTTAAAACAGGCATAATTCTAAGTAGTCAAGAAGGTGCAATATCTTCTGCGGAGTACGGTGTTAATGGTCGATTGTGCTTTTATGATGTCCTTGCGGATTTTTATGTTCGAGTGCCTGAGAGGGGAAAGCCGATCCTTGATTTGATTGTGCAACTATGGAGCCAGTCATTTGCATCTCACATTTTCTCCCTTCTATTCCATAAATGGGTAAGCAAGCTTTTGATTTGTTCATAGTTCTTTTTTGCGTTTCATCATGGAATTTCTCCGGTGAACTTAGTTTTTCTCCTGATAAAAGCTGTTCACTGGCATCGTAGACTAGGATTTGAGACGTGTCACCTACTCCCTTACCCCAAATTTTTAATGATAAAGAAAGATATGGAATTCAGACTAGCTTTCAGGAATTACAATCTGATTGCTCAATCAATGGAACTCAAATTCTTGCCTTACTGGAGACTATTCTGCTTGTATAATGGTAGTTTAATGAGAATATACGTTATTTAGCTGTTGCTGCTGCTTATTTTTGGTGCTATCAACTTTGTGGATGGTGGTGGCTAGGTCAGGTATAATTGAGTTTTCCTAACCAGATAAAGTAATAAAGCAAAATAAAGATGTGACAAGTTACCAAACTAATTTATTATTGCCTGAAAAATCTACATTATAGTGTAGTTCTTACTGTTTTTCCATACTAATTATAGTTCCTCCTTACAGTCTCTAAATGTAGTTGGGGTTTGATGTACTCCAGGTATGGACGTCTATGTATCAAGAGTTATGTGGCTTAAAATTACCACAAAAGATCTAGTTATGTCATATTTTTATCATGAAGTAGTGCTAGGTAGTAATAATTTTTGCTTCTACTAGTAACTGGTTATTACTCATTTTTATACTTGCTGTTTTATTTTCCATTTATTTCTTCAATTAAGATATCATAACATTCTTGACCGAGAAAAATGTTGTTTAAAATCAGTGAATGATTTTTTGGTTCTCTTTGATGAGATTCTTTACATTGAACAATATTTCTTTCTACAGTTATTTGAAGTTCAACTGGATAATGCAGACATACAACTACGTTATTCCTCTGCACTTGTTGAGGGTGCAACAAATGTTTCTGGTATGAATGCAAATTGGTAATGCTTGAGTACGATTTTTGTTATGTTGCCAAATGCCAATACCTTTAGAAGTTGGATGATGATGATTGTCATTCTTGTTAAAAAAGTGGCATCACTTACAAGGCGTTGAGGATTTTTGTGCTTGCATGCAGGATGGATGTGCAATCCAATACAAGGCGTTTTCAATCTCTCTTTCAGGTAAACCTAAAAGAAACATATAGCTCTTTGGACTGCATGTTTCTGTTCATTTTTTTATTTTGGAGAATCCATCTGTCAACACTTTTCTTCTTTTATGGACTTAGTACCTCCTCGACGAAGTAGCATTGGAGTCGGCTCGGTTAAATAAAATTCCAGTACAGGTCAAATATTTTTGCTCTCTTGTTTTGGTATATCTTAAAGAAGATAATGCCAAGTTCTGGATCTTTGTCTACTTGTTGTTTTCTGATCAAGATTCCTTAGCGACATTTATCTTCTAAAACTGACTCTAGAATTTGTGATTTTTCAGGCCCAGCGAGACCTATACCTTTTACTTTCAAGATTCATATTATTTTACAACTCAGGTTGGATTTCCCTCTTTTGGAACCTTGATTTTGAAATATAATTTGCGTAGTGATATTCCTTATAACATGTTATTCTATGCAGCTGACAAGATTGAAAGCTTTGTTAAGCAATGCCCTGCTTTTCCAAATGCTTTCCTGGTTGGTGGACCAGCAGATATAGTAGTTATTGAACTAACCGACCAGGTAATTTCATATTTCCATGATTGCATGGCATATGTTCAATGATCCTGTTTAACATTATCACCTTAATTGAAAGCCATTGCAACGATCAACATATTCACATTTTGGAAAATTTTCTTTTGCCAGCTTCAAAAATTAAAGGTGGAGCCAGTCCTACTGCATTATCTTTCGCAGAGTAAGGTTCTCCAAGGTATTACCATCGACTTCTTCTAAGATTATGGGGTATCTGAATACACATATATGACCTTAGTTTTTAATTTCTGCAGGCATGGAACTGAGAATGGCCACAAGTACAAGGCTGAAAACCTGTCTGTATAGCTTTACTTCTCCTGGTGGTCCGATGTATCCTACAAGGGCTGTCCGTCATGCAGCTTGGGGTGCCTTAGATTTCCTTTTCCCTGTAAGTACCCTTTTGAACTGCTATTTACAGTGACTTATCTTTCTGAAAGAAAACAAACCAAACAGTCCTCTTTATCTTCTGAAATAGAGTTTGTCAGGACTTGAATGAATGAACTGTGTTAATTAGACTTTATTAACTGAGTTAACCCTGACCTTAATAGTATGCTAATGGAAAGGAGTAACCCATAAATGATCCAAGTACCCAATCACTAGCATCAAAGTTGCTCTGATGCATATTTATAAGCTGTTCGTGTTTACGTGTATGTAGAATCTTAGGGTACTCTTACAAGATGCTTCGATCGGGAATTTGATTTTTGTTTGTCATCTGCCCATTTAGGCAAATCAAGGGATGGCAATAGCAATGGGGCGGGGTGGTTTCTTTGTCATCTGCCTATTCAATTTTTATGCCTCCTACTTTTGAACCCAACCGCTGAAGAAAAATCCTCAACTCCCAACTTGACCCGTCCAAAAATATTATATGTATAATTTTTATATTATTCATTATTACAAGAATAAACTGACTTGACGTGAACTCGGAATTTTTAATTGAAAAATCACTCCGCACCATATTCACCCTTGATTTTCAAATTTAGGCTTGTACTTGAGCGTATTTGAAAACAACAACAACAACAACAGAACCCAATTCCCATATGCAATGAGGTAAGGGGGAGGTAGGGTAGTAGGCTGCCCCCAATGCCAGGTTGAGAGTAGCTTCCGTGGAAGACCTCCGGTAGTCAGAAAATTAAAAATATAGATAAAATGCACTACATGTATAAATAAATACATAGTTGAACAGTATGCATATGAAGTCATTAATATCATATGCACGTTTGTACTTGGGTCGTAATCCCTGCAAAAAAATCCCTGCGAAAATCTCTGCATATAGACAGAAACGTAAGACCCGACTAAATTTAAAAGTGAAGAGAATGTTACACAGAAGTCAACGATAGCAAGCTCAGTTCTAAGCCTTCATAAATACCAATAACATAAACGTATAAAAAGTAGAAGTCATGGAAATTACTACAAAGGCATTAAAAGAAGACAGAGATGATACAGCCTAGAGATGTGACCCACACTACTCGACTACCCTAGTCTTAAGTCTCCATACTTTCCTATCAGAGGTCATGTCCTCGGTAAGGGCTAAATCCATCAAATCAGATCTCAAGCAGTCTTCCCACTTCCGCCTTGGTCGTCCTCTCCTTCTGGCACCGTCGACTGTAATCGACTCTACCCTCCTGACCGCATCCGACGGTAGTCGCCTAAGGACATGCCCAAACCACCGTAGTCTTCCCTCCCTCAATTTTTCGGAAACATGCACCACCCCCAAGGACATCCTAATAGCAGAGTTTGTTGTCATATCCCACAGAGTCCTACCGCATGTCCATCGAAGCATTCTCATTTTTGCGGCCTCTATCCTCCTTACATGATCCTTCTTGGTTGCCCAACATTCTGATCCATACAACAGCGCTGGTCTAATTGCCATTCTATAAAATTTTCCCTTAAGTTTTAGAGGCACCTTCTTGTCACACAAAACTCCAGTAGCGGCCCTCCTCTTTAGCCATCCCGCTTTTATACGGTGTGTAACGTCATCTTCTACACCCCCATCTTTATGTATCATAGACCCTAGGTACTTGAAACAATCCTTTGATGGGAGAACGTGTCCTTCTATGCATAATTCTACATCTTATCGTTTTGGTCCCCACTGAAGTTTGAACATAAATACTCTGTCTTTTCAATATTGATCCTTAGACCTTTTTCTTCCAAAGCAGTCTTCCAGGTAGCCAGTCTACTATTCAACTCAGATTTTGTTTCAGCAACTAGGACAATGTCGTCAGCGAAAAGCATACACCATGGTACACCGTCTGGTGTCGCACGTCCATAATCAAGGCGAAGATGTAAGGGCTAAGAGCCGACCCCTGGTGGAGTCCGATTTCCACTGGGAATGCCTCGGTGTCGCCAACTGAAGTCCTGACGTGTGTAGTAGATCTACAATACATATCACGAATCGCCCGGATATAAGCAGTTGGGATCCGTCTCGTTTCCAAAGTCTTCCAGATCGTATCTCGGGGAACGCTATCATAAGCATTCTCAAGGTCAATGAACGCCATGTGAAGATCTCTAGACTTTTCCCTATATTTCTCCATAAGTCGTCGAAGTAGATGAATCGCCTCCGTGGTAGACCTGCCTGGCATAAAGCCAAATTGGTTTTCCGAAACCCTAGTAACTTGTCTCAACCTAGCCTCTATCACCCTTTCCCATAGCTTCATGGTATGACTGAGTAGTTTAATACCTCTGTAGTTACCACAACGTTGGGGATCTCCTTTATTCTTATAGATTGGTATCACCGTGGACTCTCTCCACTCCTCTGGCATCTTGGCAGTCTCTAAAATAATATTAAAGATGTTGGTCAACCACTTAACTCCCTCTTCTCCTAGAGCCAACCAAACAGTGATAGGAATTTGATCAGGACCAACAACTTTGTCCCTTCCCATCTTTCTAAGAGCCATTTTGACTTCCTCAAATCAATCCTACTTGTATGGCAGTCATTGGCCGTAGTATGATGGTCGGCTGACCCATCAACGGTACTATCTCTACAGAGAGAGGCACCGTCATTAAATAAGCCAAAGAAGTAACTACCCCAAACCCTCTTAATATCATGAGCGTATATGAAAACATTAATCCTTATGTTACCGTTTTAAAATGTTAGGAATTTATATGAACAACCCTTAACAGGTTAGAAGTTTATTTGAGTATATAGCCCCGATAAGATCAGGTTAGGTTGCAGCTTGACAGGTTCATTTATTTTGCGAAACCTAGATAAGTCTATTGTATGCGTCAATGATAGCAGAAAATGTTTCTTTTTAAGCATATCACGACTGTTGTTATTGTTATTTTGCAGGTAGGACGTTACCCTCGACATCTAATAAGTTTGTTCTTTAGACTGTTATATCCTTGGTATTGGCCATCTTCATGTTGGAACTTTATAGTGTCCTTTTTAAAGGCCGTCTTCTATTCCTTGTTGGGGTTTATCTATTCTAGGTGGGAGAAGCTTAGAGCGCCCAGAACAGCTTAATTTATCCCTATCCTTTCTAATATTTCAAAGATTGATGCAACAAGTTATGCCTTCAACTCTAGGTTGTATAGAAAGTGTTTTCTTTTTTTTGCTATGAGAATGTGTTCTAATTAATTTTAATGTTTACAAAAAGGAATTCATATAAAGATCATTAGTTTTTTCGCGAACAAACGACTTCAGTGGTTATGGGGTTTGTTGTTAATTATTGCCCCTTAAGTTTCCGAGTTTGAGCACCACATATGTCGGGGTATAAACGTTTATTGTCAAATATTTGAGAGTCTTTAAACATATACTACTTGAATTATTTCAGATTTATTAAAAAAAAAGAATCGTTACTTTTTTAATAGTATGGAGAGAGGGTTAAGCCGAACTTGGACTTAGCTGCCTAGTATCCTTGAATAGAAATTTCATGGAATGATTTTTCTCGACCATTAGACGATTAATCGAGATTTAAATACGTCAACATTTTTAGTAGTCTCTTCGTTCAGTATGTTCACTTAAGGAGAAACCAATTTCAGTTCAATACAAGATTTGACATGAAACTCTGAATTCAATACAATCAGTTCATGAGTTCATCCACTGAAATTCAATACCCCATAGGATATTGTTTGGGGGGGGGGGGAATCCTATTTAAAGATTAAACCGAATATATTTTTGCCAAATTGGAAAGAAAAAGCCTTCTTCTGAAGATATATAAGATCATAGAGAATGCAACGGTTCAACATCACATCATATAAAACTAAAATTGGTAACAGAGCAGAAACTGCTAGGAGTTAAAGAACCGTCTTGTATTCTTCGAACCAGAAACAATTATAAAAAAAATAAAAATAAAAGAATAAAAAAACAGGATTTTAAAGTTAAAATACTTTTTAATTTAGGTTGAAGAGAGTCTTAAAAGTCCAATTTTATAACTTTAATCGTTTTGCAAAACAAAATTATACATTTATATCAAAGACTATCTAAAATAAATATTTTATTTATTAAAAACACTTAAAATTGCACCTTAAAATAAATGTTTTATTTATCAAACAACATAAAAAAACGCACCTTTCACAAAAACAAAAACAGCTCCTTATTAAACAAATTGAATGAATTAACACAACATTCCTTGAAATGCACTTTTAAGTTGGTAACATAGAAGTGCCCACTCATATAAAACTAAAATGGCTAGAATCCAATAATCTTAAGGGGTATCAATTAAGCAGAACTGTTCACTCTCGATTTTCTAAACTTGAACCAGAGGAAGTAGTGATTCTTCGTGCCGAATTAAGGATAAATTATACAAGTGACCACTTAATTATAGTTTCTTCTTATTTTGACCATCATTTTTAAATTTTGTTAATTAAATCATCTAATTATTTAAATACATTCAATCTGATCATTTGTCGTTAATAGTTAACGGAAATATTAAAGTAACATTTAATAAAATTAGTATAATTACACATTTGATCCTCAATATTTATACATTCTATCAATTTGATCATAATTTTAATTCAATTTAATAAATTTAATCTCCAATTAGATGGCAGATTAGATGATATTTTATTGATTTTAATTATTTAATTTATTTTTATTTTGTATCCAGTTAGATGGTGACACGTCACCACCTTATTTGATAAGCAAAACGCTTTGAAATGTAACCCGCTTCCAAGGAGGATTGGACCTATGACCTAGAGCAAATTAAGATGCGCTTGAACCAGTAGGCTAAGCCTCTCAATTGTTTATATTTTACAACATTTCATATATAATCTATTATAACTAATGGCAGAGAATTTAAGAGAGAATGTAAGCACTTTAACCCTTAAACCAAACCTTATATTCAATTAAATTAATAAAATTAAAAGATTAATTTCAAAAACTATAATATATAGATAAATTTTAAAATAATATAAAAAATTAACATATTTAAAAGGCAGTTTAGGGTTAAAAATAATATATATAATATTGTAAATTTTAATTGATATTGATGATTTTGTTTTTTAAGTAAAAAAACATGCTATTTAATAATAAAATATTTAAATGATAAAAATATAAACAAATATATTTGAATTATTGGAAAACTGTAAACTTTATAAAATATTAAAATATAAATAAAGTAAATAAAAAGATAAAACAGTTAATGATAAATCAATAAATTTATTATTTTTATCAGTTGATTTAATATAATAAAATTTATCTATATATTATAGTTTTTAAAATTTAAATTTTTTATTTCGTTAATTTAATTTAATATAAGGTAAAGTGCTTGCATTTTCTCTTTCACTGCCTTTAGTTATAACAAATTATATATGAAATATTATAAAAGGCAACCAATTGAGAGGCTTAGCCTACTGGCTCATACATGCCTTAAGTTACTCTATGTCATAGTGTCAATTCTCCTTGGAAACAGGTTATATTTTAAAGTGATTTGCTTCTTAAATTAAATATCATCTGTGGCAACCGGCCTCTCGGGGAAAAGGTCGATGAGTTGCGAAAGATGGGGGTTTTGAAGTGTTTTTGAAATGATGAAATGTGAGGAGTCACCACCAACCATTTTAAGGTGCGATTGAAACTCTTAAAAATCGGGTAATTTAATAAAACATTTTATTTTTATCAAAATATCAAGTTTGAGGTCTGTGAGGCTCGGTAGTCGGTTATGCGTGGGGAAATATTAGTGCCCCCAACGTCCAAAAATTGGTACATAGTTAATTGCCCTATTTAAAATTTGAAAATTTGGAGTTTGAAGTTTTATTTAATTTAGAAATCATTATGGATGCAAAGTTAAATAGAGTGCCTTTTTATTAAAACCAATAATTTTCACCCCCAAGCATGAATGTGGGAGATCAATTATTGTGCTCAATAACCGGTCATTGCCTTAAATTGTAAAAAATGAAGGTGTTTGAGAAGGATATCCATCTACTTCAGGAGTTACCAGCGGTCACCCTTAAGCATAATGTGGAGGATACGCCATTAACTCATTCGTAAATCAACATTGCCTTGTTATTTTAAATCCAAATGCAAGCAAACAACTTTTTATTATACCTAATTATGGTATGTGAGTTAATTAAGGGACTTCATGACCTAAGGTGTCAATTTATGTAATTTAAGGAACCTAAAGGACTAAACCTAGAAATGGAGGCTCTAATATTAATACTATTTGATTTTAACCAGTTATTGGATCGAATAATCGAGATGGTCCCTTGAGCATGAAGGCGAGGACCAACTAAGATTATTCCCTAAATTAGAGGGCTAAAGTGAAATTAAACTAATATGAAGGCTCTAATTGTTAACCTAATCAATTATGTCAAAAGGATAATCTAAATAAAAGTTTAAGGACTATAAAAAGTCTAAAGTCAAGGGGCTAAATCTAAAATCTAAACCCCTAATTAGGACTAAATTAAAAAAATAAAACTAAAAGGGTAAATCTAAAGTCTAAACATTTTAGGGATTAAAACATAGAGAACCTAGATTTAAGGACGAAACATAAAGTCTAAATATAAAATCTAAGTGTTAATAAAAATGTAAAAAAAACATAAATTGGAATAATTAGAAAAATGCATATGATAAATTAAAGGATTAAACTGTAAAATGCATAAAATTTCAAACACACAAATTTCAAGGAATAGAAAAATAATAAAAGGATCTAGATGTGAAGAAATTAATGATTAACGGGTCAAATTTCATTACAAATTAAAAATTAATGAATCGACATGCCAATAGGTTAATGATTTATCAGGGTTTATCTACACAATTAGACGAGGACAGAAATGTAATAAAAATAAAGCGTAGTAGCTAATTTGAAAAAAAAAAGAAAAAGAAAATTATGACTAAATAAACAAAATAACACGTTAAAAACAAATTCAAATACCCATGGACTAAATCGAAATAAAGCATCAATTACAAAGTAATGATCAAACTAAAATAAATATAAACAGAGTAACATAATCAAAATAAATGAAAACATAGCTATTTCGTCTCTATAAATCTAAAATTGTACTAATAATAGAAAAAAAGAAATATCACAAAATTAGGGTAAAACATTCAAACTAATAACTAAAGCATCACTACAGGTGATCAGGATGTTAAAACACACGAGAGTTATGGGGATCTAAATGCAATTTCACCATTTTCTAAACAGGGCATTTGGGACCAAAATATAAATAAGTGGTTGAAGCTCAGGGACCTTAAAGAAATTAACCGTAATCATCATATATAAATATCTAATTATATATTAACCCTAACCTAAACTCACCTTAACCAGCCGCCTCCTCTCTTTGTTCTCTCACCCCTTTCCGTACTTCTCTCAGCTGACACCCCAAAACCATGCTCCGGCCACCGTTCACTGGCATTTCTCCTCCCTCCGAAGGTCTTCGGCAAGAACCCAAGAAACTCGAACCTAAAACCCTTTCATTTGCTCTTACTTGACTCCCTCTTAAACTCGTCCCTCTTCTTCTCCTTCCTTCACCACGCGACCGAGAGCCCAAACCCATAGCCTTCGTTTGCTCATCGGCCACCACAGCTCGGTGGCCAAACCTGCTCCGACCGCTCTCCTCTTCACCCGGGAAGCCTAGACTAACACCCAAACGAGCCCCAACAACACATGCAAGCTTAGATTCGACGTAAACTAGGGTACAACATAATTTAAAACATAATAAAAAAATTGTTATTATACCATTCAAAACCCCCCATATAATAATTAATGAAATCATGCGAAATTTTGATAACCAATCAACAATCTAATCGACCTTGGAAATTTTGAATTAAATGACTCGGGCAAAATTAGGGTACAACATAATAAAAAAATTTGTTATTATACCATTCAAAACCCTCATATAATAATTAATGAAATCAAGCGAAATTTTGATAACCAATAAAAAATCTCGATTACCCTATATTTAAAAATTGGAAATTTTGTGTTCAAGATCTTATTTAATTTAAAAATCATCATGGATTCAAGGTTTTGAAGAGGTGCTCGTTTATTAAAGCCAATAATATTCACCCCCAAGCTTGAATGTGAGAGATCAATTATTGTGCCCAATAACCATTCATTGACTTAAGATAAAAAAATACAAGGTTTTGAAAAGGATGTCCATCTACTTCGGGAATTACCAAC